AGACTAAAGAAAGAAGCAGACCACTCCAGATTGGCAGGTGGCAGGTTTAATAAGCAAGGGAACTTACATACGAGGCTTGTCTTGGGCGTCGCAAAGTGAATAGGTCTCCGCGCTTGCCTGCCAGAATCTTGAAGTTTATATAGAGGACTTAACTGGGTTCAGTCACGTACACGATCCAGATGATCTCAACAACACATTGCTCTCTCAAGGCTGCATCCTTGAAAACTGTTCTGGCTGTGGGAACTGTGGGCAGAACAAACATTCCAAGGAAAGAGGACAGGGTGAGGAGACTCCGATTGCCCAGGTCCAGCTCAAGGGTCAACCAGAAGTCATGTCCTCTCAATGACTTCCAACATGATTTCCAGCAAGTTCCTCAGTCCAGCCCTGGGGGTACTGGCCACTTCTTACGTCTGTTATTCCTATGATCTTTAGAGTTCCCTCAATTTGTATTAGTTACTCCCTCATTACTCAAATTCTCTGTTATAGCTTGCAATTCTTTATATTAAACTTTCCCTGTTCAAGATTACTCTGATTTCTCTCTCCTGAATGGACAGTTATCAATGTCACTAGAGGTTCTTAACTGGTTGTTTTTTTAATGTCTTTTCAATACAAAAAGCTTCTGATGTCTTTTTGTGCCGATTTATTTGCAAATGAGAGCCCTAAGAGTAGCAGGTTTTCATGCCTTGCATTCTCATAAGATGCTTGTCACTCATATCAGGCTCTTCCCAACGTTTTCACTTTAATTAGATAAAAGAAGGCACTGCCAGCAATCCATTGACTAGCAAGCTTTGGACGGAGCTCTGACAGAGATATTTGGACAGAAAGGCACCTGGAACTATCTTGGGCTTCTTCTCTCTGGTTCAGGTATAGGCTTAAAGCCCTCTGTTCCTTACACAGCAACATGACTTCATCTGACAGCCAAAGAGACCAATGTTTCTGTTGATTGGGGGGGATCAATTTTTAAACCAGAGATTTTATATTTAGCCAAGTTATTCTTCACATACATAGGTAAGAAAAAATTATTGTAACATATGCAATTATATATGTAACTGTATAGAGAAAAAGAAAAAAAAGAAAGAAAATTTTTCAATGTACACCAGTACAAAAAAAATTTAAGAATGGAGAAGTTAAGAAATACAAGGATTGATAGGGAGCATTAGTTCGCATCATTTAAACACAGAATGAAGTTTAAATTATTGTAGTATATATGTTCATTTCTTCCAGACAAGTTTATTGAGTGCCTGTGATGTCAAGTCTTCCAAACCAATTCATGAATTTAATGAAGTTCCAGTTAAAATGCAAATAGAATTAAGTTTAGTCTAAATAGATCCATTGTAGCAAAAGTGAAAACATAGTTTAAAATTTTTGGAAAATAAAATTCATAAATGAGAAATTATTCTACAAGTTACCAGAATTTATGATAGTACAACAAATAAGATCACATGGTACCAGCCCAAGAATAGACGCCTACATCAGTGGACCTATGTGGAGAGCCTAGAAACAGTCCAGGTATGTAGAAGAACAGTGTGAAAAGTATTGACTGTAACTCATGGTCTGGGAAGAACTGTGATCCATCCAGGGCAGGTAAGGAGGGCATAACGTGAAATAATGACTTCACACTATACACAAAACTAAACTCCAGATAACCAAAGGAATGACAACAGCTAAAAAATCCTGTAAACGTCCTAGAAGAAAACATAGGAGATTATTTTTATAGAATTCTGGTGAGGAAAACATTCATAAGCAAGACCCAAAGGAGGAAGTAATAAAATAAAAGATAATAGTAACACACAAAGTTACAATTGCTATATGACAACTTATATGTAACAAAGTTAAAATAAAATAAAGACTGAGACAACATTTGCCATGTATATGAGGGAAATACGTACATATGTAGAATACAAATAGCCTATAAACCAATACAGAAAGACAATACATAAAATCATGTGCAACGTACATTAAAAAATAAATCACACAAATAAATACAAATGGCTAATAAATGTATTGAAAAGATTTTTAAAATCACTAAGGAAATGCAAATTAAAACATGATGCTATTTCTCACCCATCAATTGGCTAAAAATTGTAAAAGATTGATAGTAGCCAGTGTTAGCAAGAGTGAAAGGCAATTTTGGAGGTGAATTTGGCAGCAACTATCAAAGCATAAATTTCACATACCCTTCACCAACATAATTCCACTGCAAGGAATCTATTTAATGCAAAAATGTGCACAAATTCATAAGATATTTATACCATGATGTTCATTGCTGCATTAAATTTATTAGCTAAAACTGGAAGACTACATTTAATTGCACAACAATGGGGTAACAGTTGAGTAAGTTATGATGCTGTGCTGGTCTTTGGTTGCCTTTTTCCTTGGATCCATTTCTCCCCTTCTCCTTCCCTGCTGTGTATCTCCAGGGACTGACTTCTTTTCCTAGGCTTTTCTTTCAACTGGCTTTTGACTCACTTAGGCCAATGGGAAGTATTGCTGGGAGACTGGTTGGCAGGAAGAAGGGAGAAGCCATAATACTTTTTTCCAATTCCTCTCTGCCTTGGGTGCTCCCTGGTCCACACTCCTCCTAGACTGCCCATCGTGGTTCTAACTTTCCCTGAGTGACCCAGCCCCTGAGCTCTAGTAACACAACCCTCTTCTTTTGTCCCCATAGCTTAAAGAATCTAGTGGCTTCCTATAGATATTAATCTCTACGTGGCCTCTTTTTTCCCACTTGGCTTTTTACCTCTTCCATCATTTCTGTAACTAATTAAATTTCCACTACTTTAAATACTTAAAATGATTTTGTATTCCTGCTTAGAATACGCACGTACACACACACACACCCCTTTGCAGCCAGTAAGAAAACCCTAGAGAACCATATACTGAGTGAAAAAATGCTCCTGAGAAGTTGTTGACTCCAAGAAGGAAAGTTGCTATATCTTACGTTTAATATGGTCCATTACACAAAATCAATGTGTGTATTTGTGAATGTGTTTACATGATGATAATAATAGTGATAACAACAGTTAACCTTTGTAGGAAAAAACAAGTATGGCAAAATACCCACTAGGGGATGTTCTTGAGAAGTTGAAGGGAGAGAGATGTGTGTGTTAAGGGGAAGCAGTGCTCCTGCTTTTTACTTTATTTACTGCTATGTTGTTTGGGGTTTCTTTCTTCTGTAATGTGTTACATTTGTAATTTCAAAACCTTGTAAAATCAGGTAATAAAAACTAATTCTGCCTAATTATACCTAATATGCCTAATTGTGCCTAATTTAATCACTTCTATTAAATATATATGTCCATATGTATTCATCTGTAATGGGAACTGTCTGAAAGTACAGTCAGTTCTGAAATAATTTTAAAGTGCAAATTTGTTCCAACAAGACTCCTTTATTAGAGAATAACTTGAGCATGCCATCTATGCTTGTGTGATATTGTCAGTGAGAAACACCAGGTGAATGTTAAAGATTGAACCCAATTGAACTGAAATGTTTAAGAATACACAAAATGCACACACATGCACACACCTTAAACATCCACAGCATCCTCAGTCCACATATGCGTTATGAGCCACAGTATCCATATCTGGTCTTACAACTTTCTGTCTGATTTCAGATAAGCCTTCTTCCAATACTCCACAATAACTCACAATCTGCAACTCTTCCAATGCCCTCTTCCAGAAACAAACCTCAGGTATTCCTCAAGATGAAGCACCATGTTTACTGTAGTATTTATGCATTTCTTCACCATGGAACATTCATGTGTAAAAGTGTGCTACCATTTTTATTAGGTTCTGATGATTTTCTCCTTATGGATCATTATGAAGTTTTTGAGTATTGCACCCTAATCTCATTTTTGTAATGAGCCCTGTGGATTTTATTGCACAATTTTGCATAGTATAGTGATTCTTAGCAATATGCATGTCACACGATCATGGAACTCACTATACATACACCAAAATGTTAATAGCATTTCTGGGTAGTAATTTATTTTTGCTTATTTATAGTTTCTATTTTTTTCCTAATCATGTATTAATAATTTAATTAAATCTACATAAGCATTGTTAAAAGATGAGATTGTAGCGGGGCCAGCCTCATGGTCCAGTGGTTAAGTTCATCACACTGTGTTTCAGTGGCCCTGGTTCAGTTCCTGGGCACAGACCTACACCACACATTGGCAGCCATGCTGTGGCAGTGACCCTCAAACAAAATAGAGGAAGATTGGCACAGATGTTAGCTCAGGGCCAATCTTCCTCAGCAAAAAAAAAAAAAAAAAAGAGAGATGAGTTGGTAGCCAAGAGGATGACCACAGCTGTTCTAGGTGAGGACCTGAGGCTATTCAGAAAAGCTTCACTCATTCACTGGTGATGCAGTCAATTAAGTGCCCTCTAGTCTACCTAAAAAGAACAAACAACTAAAGCTCCTCCTGGAAAACAGAGATAAGGTCACTAGTCCCCATAAATGCTAAGAAGAATACAGATGTGACTAGTCAAGATTTCATTAAACAATGTAGATCATATAATAAGCCAAATGCCCCTAAATGGTTTGCAAACATTCAGAAGTTAACACCATACAGATCCAGAAAAATATAGGCAATAACCAGTACAATATATCCAGTGCTATTGATTTTCACGCTTAGGCTCATTAAGTGTGATTAGAGCACCTTGTCATATCAGGAAATATGACTCTGTGGGGAAACTGCAAACTTGAACACAATGTGAATTTCAGAAGGGAGAGAAAAAATGAATTTTCCTCATGTGATTTGAGTCCTGAATTTCCACCCACTTCTTCAGAGTGAACTTGCACCTGTTAGCACTTGTTTCCCCCTTTCCAAGGAGGTATCATGTGGTTTTTTTTGTCTGTTTTTTTTTGCCAGTGATAAGTTACTCAACCTACAGCCAAACTCCACTGTTCATCTTTAATTCGGGCAAGATTTCCCTTCTTTCCCTCCCCCACATGCCCCGTTTCTGGGGCAGTGTCCACTGAACCCTGAACTCGTTCTTGATCTCTGTATTTTCCTGCCTCTACACAGAATCTGCTGTTGGCTGTGCTCTCTATGGAGCTTTGTTTCTAGCTGTTCTCTGACAAAGGGCTTGTTCTGTGCAGCACATCTCGTCCTCTTTGTTCAGCCTCTGGCTTCAACCACTGAAGCACAAATATTCTCCAGCTGGGAATCAGACAAGGGCAGAGATGAAGAACCCAGAAGCCCAACAGGATGTTTCAGTTTCCCAGGGAATTCGAGTGATGTTTTACATGATGAAGCCCAATGAGACGTCATTCCAAACCCTAGAAGAGGTGCCTGATTATGTAAAAAAGGTGAGACTATCTGGGACAAGACTGTTGCTTTTTTCTTGGTAAGAAGTAAGTTAAACTCATCCTGGGATTTTGTTCACTTTCATTCTTTGAATTATTAAATTCTAATAAAAAATAATTCTGTTTCATAAAGTCATGGAGCAAAAGTAGAATTTCTACTTGAATTGAATTTCCGTACAGTATCCATACATCTTCTCCTATTAAACTCCTCTCCCCTGATATGTTACTGCAGAATATGAAAAAACTTTAAAAAGTTTTCCTGGACAAAGAGGCATTACAAATGGAGCTGTTAGAAGCTCAAAGTCCAGTGGTTACATGACATCAGTAAACTTTGTAACAATTTTGTTTTTAAAGGATAGTCTTGTCTACCACCTCCCAGGAAACTATTTCCTCTTTAATTTGGTAGAGTAGGTCTGCAGAATGGATATACAGCTGACTGAGTCCAACTCTGACTTCCTAAGTTTGAACTTGAACCAAGTTTTCTTTGAAACTCTGAAGTGTTCAGAGGCACTTTTCACTTTTGGTTCCTGGCTATGATTGGAAGTGGAAATATCCAGAATTAGAACTTGAATACTGAAGTTCCCCACCCTGTCAAAGTTGTTCTTACAACACTTACTAGTTCAGACCAGAAATAGAAAAAAAAATGACATCAGAGAATATGTTCTTGGGAGTTCCGTTCAGAAAACTTCAAAACTCATGAAATGAATTATGAGTTAAACCCATAACTTTTTCAGAATTTCATATAACTTCTTCTTTCTGATTTCTTTAAGAAAAAAATGTGGTACTCACATCTTCATAAAACATTATTTTTTTATAGTATAACGCCAAACCTAGTCCAATATTTGTCATCGTGTGGAGCCTAGAAAACCTATTATATAAAACAAAAATTAAGCTGAATGAATAAAACCTGAATGACGTTTAAAACAAGCATTTAAAATGACCTTATTTTCTGAAATACTCAGAAGAAAATTCTCTGTTCCTACAGTTTCAATTTTGTCTTTCCTGTAATTCTAACATGAAAAAATAGAATCATGTGCATCCTTAAGGAGAGCCTTTTAAAGTGGGTCTAGCTCAGTCTTGTAGATAATAGACTTCTGATTATTGTGCTTATTTTAAAATGTATTTTTTAGATCCCATGTGAAACACTTCCACTGATCTTATTATTTTCTTGGCAGAATTATCATGGTTACATCTATGGTTATATTTCATTTCCATGTTGGATGATAGATTTTGAGCACCTGTTTAGTGTATGTCTGAAATAATCAGATTTCTTTGCCTATTGGGAGGAAATGATCCTCCAGGATAGGTGTATACCTTCTCCTGCTATGAGATGTCACCCTGGGCCTCCCACTTCTGGAATGACTAATCAGGAAATGTGGAAGAATTTCATACCGAGCACAATAGCATCTCTTTTCCGCAATTTCCTTTCCAGGCAACTCCATTTTTCATTTCCTTGATGCTGCTTGAACTGGTAGTCAGCTGGATTCACAAAGGGAAGCCACCAGGTCGTTTGGATGACGCATTAACATCAATATCAGCCGGTGTTCTGTCTCGGCTTCCAAGGTGAGTTAGCTGGTTGGCAACACTGAGTGAATAAACTGAAATTCTCCAGATAAGATGGAGAAGGAACCCATTGTATGGAGAATTGGTATATTTTCACATATATCCTCAAAGACTTCAATTACCGTCATTATTTAAATTTTTTGTATTTTGTTCACCATGGATTTTTTTTGCATTCATTTTAAAAAATGTTGCTCTAAATATTATTTATCTTGATTACTGAGTTTATTGGTACTCCCTTAAATTTTGTGCCCGGTAAGCACTTCACTTGCCTTACCCAAGCCCTAGACCTCAGTTATGGTCTAGTAATCTATTGGAAAATTAATTTTGCCTCAGGCAAATTCACATGCTATAGTAATCTGAGGTGCAGACACTGCCTAGTCAAAGTCACATAAAGCTCTGGATTACTACAGTGGTATCCTAAGTGGTATCCCTGTCTCTAGTCCCACCTCCTTTGCCGCCAAACATTTCCGTAATGTGAATCTGGTGGAAACTCTTCACAGGTTCCATGTTGTCTGAGGATAACGTCTGAATTCCTTTCCTGATCTATGGAAGCCTTTGTCTATCCAGCCTTGCTTTTGGTCCTTTCATTCTCCTTCCCCCTTTGCAATATTTGTTCCTTCCATACTCTACTACTTGCCATTGCTCAGATGTCACATGTGCTTCCCTCTGCTTGGAAAGTCATCCATATGGTCAACTCTGATTCATTTCTTAAGTCTAAACACAGACTTATCCTGAAGAGTCACATTTTTCAGCAAGTCTTACTTTTCTCCAACAGTACTTTAGGCAACACTTTCAGTATGGTCCTGTGGAATCTTGGGCTTACCCCAGATATAGAATTGTCACATGACATTACGCTCACCTGCTTTCCTCCAGCCCTTCCTGTGAGCTTGCATGCAATTTGAGAGCAAGAGATGTTCTGTCTTCATAGTTGTAACTCATATGGCTGGAATGATGTCTGGTACATGGTAGATGTGTTTTTTTTAAAAACATGTAACATTCTTACAGTGTTACATTAAAATTACACCCATAAAATTGGGTGATGAAGAGACCAAACAACAGTAAACGATAAATGACCTACGACTTTTTAGAAATAGTAAATTATAATGTGTGTGGAGGAGAAACCAATGAATGGAAGGCTCTTCAGTACATGAGGATTTACCACAGAGGGTGAGAGAAGATACCCTTAGAAGTCTGCTTTGTGTTGCTGGTGAATGTTCTCATTCCTGCTTTCCACCCATTGCTTTTTTTACTGTTTTAAGAGCTTTACTTCTGACCAGTGCTCATTGCTTTGGAATGTTTCTATGAACCGCCCAGTAGCAAACCAAGGTGGATTTTTAAAAAATGAAATGAAAACTTAAAGATATCTGAGAAAAGGTAAAATAATTTCATATAATTGAATAAAATTGTTTAGATAGGAAGTAAATTTAGAAGTAAAATTTCTTTCATAAATGTTACTTTGAAAAAGGTTAATAGGTAAAAAATAATAACATCAATAATAATAATGACTCTGAAAAACTGCTCATATGGTTGCACACTGCTATCAGAATGAGAGGATAATATCTCAAGTTATTTGCAGTTAATTCCCAGAACACCCTAAATAAGAATTTACAATTATACATGATTTCCTCTATTTCATGTCTCCCTTGAACAGAATTGAGCAAGAAATACATTCAACATACTTAAAGGATATATAGATTTGGTTATTGAAAAAAACCCAGTTGGTTCCTGTAATTCATTCTGAGAAAGTTAAGTGTATAAGTTTATGGAAATTGGACGATTGATGAACTGATAACTGAGAAGTGCCTGCAGGTGCATTATGGATCACATATTTCGTTGAGTTGGAATGAATTTATTAAAAACTCAGGGAGACATCAAATTGAATGAATGCTTCAGCATTTCTTTTACTTTTTCAGGTTTGACTTTGGTCACAAGTTAAATTAGATTGTTCTCTTATCATAACATTGTAACTACTAGAAATATTAACTGCATCCTCAGTACTATATTTCTGCTCAGCAGTGTGATAAAAAAAGGTACAGAGTTGTAAAGGATACACAAGAATCAAATATATATTTTTGCTAAAAACAAACCCCCACAGTATTAGGGAGATGTAGGGGGGAGAGAGAAAAAGAGAGAGGGAGAAGGAAAGAAACCACCCAGAACAAACCAGTCCTTCAGGGATAGACATGCAGTTCTTTCCCCTCACACCCCACTACTCATAACCCTGCTTAAGCTGACACAACCTGTTAACTCCGGCGCCCTGTGAAAGAAAGGTAAAAGGTAGTGAACTTGAATTTGGAGCATATTTTTCTACAGTTGTATTTTGAATGACAACAGCATATTGCTTCTTTTTTGTTCTTGTAGATGTGAACTGCAATTCTAAATTATGAAATGTGGATAATTTTGTAAGTTTTGCAATGGATTTTATCTTTCATAGACTTTTATCTAAATGATCTCAGCAAAGTAAATTATCCGAAAATAAAATCTAAAAATATTTTTGTTTATTTGTTGCTATTAAAAAGAAAAAACCCAGATATAAGCAGAGAAGGAAAGCTGACCTTCAGGATACACCCCACTCAATCCCCTTTCAGCAAAAGATGAGAAGGGGGATTTAACAGAAACTCTTAAAACATTTCAGTTGAAGCCACAGCATCAAGGGGAATCCTTGTGCAAATCATTAACAGCTGAGAGTTAGATTATCACGGCATTGATCGTATCCTCTCCGAGGGAGTAATTTCATTTTCTACACCAGCAAGAGGGGCTTGCCACATACGTAAACTATATGATTGCAAGAAATTGGTAGTATACTATTTCTTAATTCATTTGTGAGGAATTACATTTTGGATAATAAGTCCAAACAGGCATGTGGCTTCTGACAAAAGAAATTGTGGAAATGGAAGTGAAACCCTGAACATGTTTTTCCACTTTGCCATTCATGTAATGGAAATGCTGAAAGCAGACTTTGAGGAAAAACAATGTTTATTTGAGGATCTCAATTTTGTTATTACTTAAAATTCGAAGTATCTTGAAGATTAGTAGCATACTTACCATATTTTATAGAAAAGATACATGCTGAATCTTTCAAATCGTTATGTAAGGGAAAATATTAATCATAGACAAGATTATATCTTGTTTACAAGCCTGTCGGCCAGACCGTGACGTGTAACGAAAGTCCATGTGTCCGAAGAACGAGATTCTGGGCGGGCCTGCATCTGTTTTGCTCTGTAGGCAGACTTCCTAGTCAGAATCTAGTCCTGAAATTATAGATGGATATTTCTATTTATCATAGTTAAACGCAGTGAATCATATGCAGATAATCTGCCTATCAATTATTTGCATATGTGACTATAAAAATTAAACAACAAAATATTTAGTAAATCTATGTTTTTTAAAAAATTCTATCTAAAACTTGTGAAATAGCCTGCTACTGACTTAAATGCTAACGAGTGAAAAATAATCACATCTTTTTTTTTTTTGGTCGTTTAAGCAGAACTCAATTTCCAATCCTTCATTAGAAAAACGGGACCTCAATTTGTTACTTCCTTCCAAAGTTTCTGCTTCCATAAATTGCATCCTCCCCAGAGAAATTTTATTCCCGGTATAAATATCTACAGTATGTTTGTTTTTAATGGGTTCATTTATTCTGTTGAAACAGCAGATTATAAATCAAATTGCAATAGGTTGGAGGAATAATTTAAGTAGGTAAATTTTCAAATAAGTTGGGGACACTCCACTTTTAATACATATGGGTCATTGCCAATTTTTACTAGGGAGCTCGCTCCGCAATGCTCAAGCATACACATGCACAGTTTTACTGGCCATGACTGCCATGGAATTTTCCATTCCTGACAAGAAAGTTTCAATTCATCAAAAAAAGAAAAAATTTAAAGAGGAGGAAATTAAACTGCTTTGAAATACTTCTGACTCCTTGGGGTGGTGAATAAAGGAAAATTGTGTACTGGGTTTTTATACCAGACTTTAGTATCAGAGGCAATACTGCCTTTGGCAATATTAGACTTCTAAGAAACGAGTGTCTGTCATTTTGGAGGATGATTTTAATAAGAAGTTATTCATTGTCCAAAATAAGAGATAAATGCATTTATGTAATATTAATAATGATATTTTATTATTTATATCAATGTACTTTTATTAACTTTGAAAACTATTAAAAGAACACCCGATGTGAGGAAAATAAATTTTAAAAACTTGCTAGTTTGTTAATTATATTTACTAGGGAGAATGCCTCATTTCCTCCTAACTTTTACCTTAGAAACCTTATAAATAGATTTTGTCTTTGTTATTAATTACATAACTTCAGAGATTGCTATTACACTAACTTTCCCTGATGAATGCAAGCTTTCTTGTGCTTATTACTATGGATTTGTGTGCTTATTCAACAGTGTAACCGAATTACTTGAAGTAATTTACTTTTTGCAAAGTAAAGAATGTAGCAAATTTAATTCTTCCAAATTCTACCATATCGTGTTTGTAAAAGTCTATGGTTTTGTCGTTGTTGTAAAAAGAAATTAAATTAAATGATTGTTTCATAAATGTAATGTTTCACAGTAAGAAAGAGCAGTACAAATTTTATCTGTCTGCGGAAGGTAGAGGTTGTATTCTATATTTTGTTATTATCGAGCAAAAATCAATATTCCACTAGATGGAGCAAAAGTGGCAGTAGCTTTACAGACAGATGGTGTAAGCTCCTGGGCCAGGTCTAAGAGATGTTGAAATAAATAAATGACAAATTTTCTCTGGAAAATCGATATATATAATCCAAATATATTTATTTATTTATAACTTCCTGAAGCTAATAAGGATATTCAGAATGATCTCATTTAAAAATTGGCTTATTTTCTGATTTATAAGACAAGATTATTAGAAATAAAAATGTCTAATTTATTTTCTTCAGTTTTGCACAATCTGGCCAAATCAGGCAGTACACACAGCTCTAATGACAGTTATGAAATAGTATAAGTTGGCAGGTGTCTGTGACTACTGGGTACGTAATTCTGCTTACTCTGAAAGTTGCTTTGAAATTGTAACAGTTTGCAGTGAGAGCATTACATCAAATTTCATTTGCTTGATTAATGATTAGAACACGAGAGTGTTTGAGAGCTAGATAATTTTAGGGTCCATTCAGCCTAATGCTCTATTATCTTAAAAGACCTGAGAGAAGGAAAGGGTGAATGATATGTCCAGCATTAACATTTCTACTTTTGATGATAGGTACATTCAAATCCAGATGACTTTGATAACAAATTAGCTTTGTAATTCTCAATCCCCAAATAATATTTATTCTAATTTATTATTTTTAAATTTCAACGTTATAAAATAACTTTATAGTTTTAAAAATCCAGATTCAGTACTGGAATAGCAAGTTAGCACCTTACCAGATTTTACAGTAACTAACCATCGATGGGACAGATTTCTAGTATTGAGAGAAAATGTTACATAAAATACATGAAGAATTAGCTAACTTTCACTTGCCAAAATATATACCTCAGACCCAAGATAAAATAGCTATCTGGAGGGAATTTACGAAGAAAATAGGACAATGGGAGGAAAGTCTCTATATATGCGGGTTGTTGATTAGAGGATTATAATGTCTCCCTATATTTAGATCATTTTCTCGGTCTTGCATTCAAACCTAACGAGTAACGGGATCCAGTATTTGGTTATTCAAAGCCCCTGTGCTACCCAAGATTCCATCTCCACATGATAAAGAAAGCTCATAATATACATTCATATTACATATGTCTCTTCCCACAGGGTGGGGTTTAGAGAGTTGAAGTTTGAATTCCAGAGTGCAGTCATATGCTGGGGGTGGGGGCTGGGAGAGGAGGGAGGAATTGGGAAGAGAAAGAGGAAGGAGCTTTGGTTTATGATTCGAGGTCTGGTGGGAACATTTTTGAAAATATAGGTGCTATTTCCTGCAATCAAGGGCTTTCTAGAGCTTGATAATCATTTCCCAGCTGTGTCCCTTTGCTGAATTGTTTTTAGTTGTGGGCACTCCATGGCTGTTTTTTCCCGTTTATGATGGAAGAGGATCATATTCGTCTTGCTGATGGAAAGCAGGGAATTTAACTCCCACAGCTTCTCCTCTCTTTCCTTTAGCCTGAAGGAAAGTTTGGCTTCGTGCTAAAGTGTGAAAAAAAAAGCCTTGACTGTAGTATGTCAAGCATATTTCAGCTCGATTTGTGTCAACCCTAATAAGTGAGTTGACAGAGTAATAAATTGGGTGTCTGCTCAAGATCTGGCACCTGTACAGGAAATACAAAAGTATTTCAATTGCAGGCAGGTTCTTTTTTTTTTAACGAATGGAAGTTTTCCAGGGACCCTCTTTCTTTTATTGAAGTCTTGGTGTCTTAAAGTCTATTTCCAATCGTCACTGGAACTGACAAGAAAGATAGCAACTTTTAAGAAAAGATACTGAACTGACGAGACACTGATGAGGCAGATATTATTTTTGCCCTGTTCCCTGGTGTGTCCTCCCTTCCTTCTGCTGAGTCTGGCACCTAGTAGGCTCTTTAATATGAGTTTATTGAATGAGTGAATGAATTCATGACACCATATACTAAAGCTTATGTAAAAAGCCGTAGATTATTTCAATTTTATGTTGCAATTTCTAAGTTTTAATTTTTCTTTCTGGATCAGTCATTTTAGGGTTATTGACTGGGATAAGTTTGCCCTCCAGGAGACATTCAGACACTTCGTTGTCACAGCTGGGGTGGAGAGCTCTGCTACTGGTATCTAGTAAATAGAGGCGAGGGATGCTGCTAAACATTCTACAATTCACAGGACAGCCCCCACAACAAAGAATTATCTGGCCCAAATAGCAATATCATCAAGGTTTAGAATCCCTGTTTTAGAGAAATTATTAGGTTGAAACATATAAAATTGATATTATTCACCATTTTTTACCTAAAACTTGAATTCTACATGGATAACCCTCTACTAATGGATAGCAGGAAACAATTTTAAGATTTCATAATTTGGGTAACTGTTTCTACAGGACAGACCCCAACAACAAAAATTATCTTGTCGAAGTGTCAATAATGACACTGTTGAGAAGCCCTAGTCTAAATATGTAAAAGTTACCAACCAAGCTAACATGTTTTAAAGTAAAATTTGTTCTTTCCCCCTACCTTGATAAATAACCTGGACAACAAATTGGAAGACAAGTTTTAAATTTCAAGTTCTTAGATTCCTTAGAGTTCCAGAACAATGTGGGAGCGTCTGGCCCATGACCTGTCCTGTCTCACGAGGGACCTCACACACATGTGTGTGGACATCCCAGACTGCATGTCCCAGCTCTCTCTACATGTCCCCAAACAGCCACTCTTGACTACCTTGTCACGTCTAGGAGTTTACACACCGGCACAGATCTGCTCTCTGGAGGAGTGAACCAGGAAACAGGCCCACGCAGGTGCTACAAGCAGGCTCATGACCACTTTGACAAGGGATTTTGGAGTATCTAGAACTTGGCCTGGGTTGTGACAGGAGTTTTGGGTAGACAGTTCCCTTGGGTCAAGGATTCTCACTCAGGGACAAACTGCTCTTTCCAGCCACATAATTGGTGGAGAGGTTATCTAGAGGGCGTGACTACTGGTTGACCCTCAAGGCGAACTCGGACAATCGAAGGCTCCTTATCCCCTCCCCTGTCCTTGAAATGTAGGTTCCACCTAGTATTCCCATAATAGCGGCTGTTTCAAGGACCTAGCCTTGAGAGAGTAGGGTATTGTTGAGACCATCTGGACTGAATAGGTGACTGAACCCTGTTACGGCCTCTACATAAACGTGTAAGATTCTTGTAAGGGTGGGTGAGGAGCTCTACTCTTCTCGCAGCCACCCTAGACAAGCCCCAGATGTAAGTTCCCTTGCTCATTAAAACTACCATCTACCAATCTGGAGTGGTCTGCTTCTTTCTTGGGTCTTTCCTTGCCCTCTGTGTACAGGGGCCAATTTATGAACCAACAATAATCTCAAATTGAAAATTGGGTTTTAAAATCTGATGATGTGTAGTCGTTTTCAAAAGTGTAGGCATTTGACATTTTTATTAGTTATTTATATTAATGCTGTTGTGAAGTAGCCTAGTGTTTTATGTTACAGATTAAATAATAACTTGAAGCATTTAAAATATAAGAGATAATTTTAAAGTTATTAAACATAATTGAAGCCATATCGTCAGTAAAGTCAAAAGTAGATTAAAATTAAAGGCCCGCGTCTCCAAGTACAAGACCCAGTAACATGCTAATCCATAGAAGCTGACTGTGTAATAGGAAATACTATTAAAATGGTGAATTTGAATAATATACAATTTGAGCTGTTTCTTCAACTTTTATTTAAAATTAGAATATTTAAGAATTTCCTTGTTTGTTAATGGTTTATAAATAAATCTTTATTAGGTAGAATGATCAATTCATTTTACATGTTAATGATAATGAAAGAAAAAGTCAATTCAATCAAATTTATAAAAGTGATGAAAAGGAATGATTATCAAGTGTGATCTTAAATTGGATCACGGAAAATTTAAAGAAAAATACTACACTTTATAAAATTGAAGTATATTATGTATGTTTTTGAAAGTCCTTGAAATCAGAATTTACTGAAGCTTGATAGAATAGGTGGCAAGACACATTCTGGTGTCTGGGTTTTAAAAACAATTGTTTATTTTAACTAGGTTCTATACTTCATTTGTAGGGGAAGATTATTCTCATATCTTGAGAGCTGTAGTTTATATTACTGCAAGAAATATTGAAATGCTATGAAAATCCAATTTGTGATCCTAAGTCTAACTTCCAAAAAACATTAAAAGTGTGTGTGTGTATGTCTGTGTGTGAAAGGGAGAGGAAGGAGGGAGTAGAGAGGAAGAGAGAGAATAGAATTAGCCAGAAGCAGCTTTAGTCTAAAGGCAAATTTTATGGGATCAACATATTTTAAGGCAGCAGGCAGTTTGCAGTCCCCTTTAAAAATATGCTATTTATAATTTTCTACCTTTTATACTTCCTTTAAAAAGCATTTTATTGTGTTCATTAAGATTTAGAAATAACAATCACAGAAAATAAATTGTAGTTTTGTCATATTTACGTTGTGTAGGTTCCATGAAAAGTATCTTATAAGACATAAAATAGGAATAGCATCCTAAATTCCGTGAAATTGAGAGCGCAAATAGCTGGCATCCATGATGCCTATGAAACAAAAGGAAACATCTTATCAGTCATTTTGATGCCAAGGAAATTGAGCCTCTTAAAAGGCGTGATTGAGCAGTAAGAAACAGAGAAGGGGAAAAGAATTTTATTTTTACATGTGAATACATTAATTTTTAAATGTTATCTGAAATATTTTAGCATAATTTTACCTCTAAAATACAGTATAATCATCACTTACGAATTTTATTTTTCCAGTTTGTTTTTCAGGAGCATTGAACTGACAAGTTACATTTATATCTGGGAGAACTACAGTCTCATCAGTTTGCCTTGGGATTCACCATGGACTTGGTATTTAACCTTCCTAGGAGTTGACTTTGGCTACTACTGGCTCCATCGCATGGCCCATGGTAAGTTGCAAATCAAGGCTTTATTGATACTCTATGTGGAACTGTGTTTGGCACATAGTAGGTATTCAGTGAATATTTATTAAATGAATGAATAAGTGAATAACATAATTTCGTTTACAGCATATAAAGATTAATAATGAAAGTTTAATTTGAAATTTAAATGGAAACAATCTGAAGTCACTTTTGAAAAAAAGTAAAATTATTTGAGGTACATTTTTCACACCTCTTGTATCTAATTAGTAAAAAGAATGTTTTGAAACTGATGGCTATAGCATTATCTTTTTTTATTTTGTTTTGTTTTGTTTTGTTGTTGTTGCTGTTGTTTTTGTGAGGAAGATCAGCCCTGAGCTAACATCCATGTTAATCCTCCTCTTTTTGCTGAGGAAGACCGGCTCTGAGCTAACATCTATTGCCAATCCTCCTCCTTTTTTTTTTTTCTCCCAAAGCCCGAGTAGATAGTTGTATGTCATAGCTGCACTTCCTTCTAGTTGCTATATGTGGCACGTGGCCTCAGCATGGCCGGAGAAGCGGTGCGTCAGTGCACGCCCAGGATCCCAACCCGGGCCGCCAGCAGCTGAGCACGCACACTTAACCACTAAGCCACGGGCCGGCCCCTAGCATTATCTGTTAATATATTGTCTTACATTGTTCTTATTATGACATGCTTGATAGAGTCCACAGTCTACTTGCACAAAATATCAGACCTCACATCACAATTATCAAGGGTCATTCAGAAGAGCTCTGTAACAGCGTGGAATCCTAGGTAATATGTGCTGTCATACATAAGCTCGATTCAAGTTCTTGGCAGTAATTCCTTATTATAAATGAAAATGCAATCAGCTAGGCACGAACCATAACGCACTTCAGTATTACCCTAGTTTTGCCAAATTTCTAATCTAATGCCCTTTTACTGCACTGGTTCACTGAATGTGCTTTTTGGGATTCTTGGCTACACCTTCCAAAGAAAAGTTTCTTTGTGGAAAGGGAAATGAAAGAGCAGGAAGCAGCCCAAACCTCTGTGGGGATAAGTAGAGGTCGGAGAATGATTGTAGAGCTAAGGTGAGCAAGTGGTCTCTAAGAAGGAATAAGGCATGCAAAAGTATTTCTGAAGGGAAATGGGGGAAAGTGCTAATTTTAAAAAACTACTGAAGAACAGAACTCAGGGTTTCAGTGGGTTGGTTCGCTTGAGTGGGTGGGGAGGAAGGAAGGAAGAGGAAGAAACCTGGAATAATAATCAAAAATAGATGGGAGATGGCAAGAAGAGACCTGAGATCATGGTGAATAATTGAGCTGTGTGTGTAGGAGTCTGTGTGACCAAATATCCTTCCCCAGCAAGGGTGAAGGAAATAGGGGTAGCATAGACGAGCCTTATGCTTAAGGCGGCTAAACTTTAAACACAGCATTGTTTTTGTTAAACACGTTAAACGTGTACGTTGAATGAAACTATAAAGAGTGTTAATTCATTGAAACAATTTGAAGTGAACGTATAAACTAGAAAAAGTTATTTATTTTGTGTGCGATAACCTTTGTCTTTGAAAATAATAGGTCGGCTCCTGACATCATTTCCTTGTATATAAATGCAAGAGGATACTCCCAAATCAAACATGATTAAGAATAAAATATGGTCATGTAGTAAACTTTGTGTTTTACTTCAAAATAGTAGTTTTCTCCCTAAAATAAACCCATTGGCAATCTCCCTCGCTTTCTGTGCAGTAAATGGATAATGCAGAAAGCATTTACATTGTATTACTTAATTTCTGGAACCTTCTAATATCACACTGTCCTGTACAGATGTGTTTGTTTGGGAAATCTGCAAATTCGCTTAATCTTTAAAAGCCCATTATAACAGGAAACAAAGAACCAACAAAATATTACCAAATATTAAACTTTAAAAAATATGTTGATTGTAAGTTCTCTCAGTTGGGGAAGAGCAATAAAGTAAAATAATGTATTAAAACCATGGAATCAAGTTTAAAGTATGCTTCCCATTAGGAAATTTTGAACCAAATCCAGTGGAGACAGGCATTAAAAAAATCTGAAAACCTTCTGGAAAAACACTCACCACCTTCAGGCTATGAAGCTTAATCATAAGTTCAAAGACTTTTGACTTGTGATGGAAAGCTAGTAGGAAAAAAAATAAAGTAGTTGAATATGTCAAACTTCAATATGACAGTTGATTTTTAAATTTTATATGATAATAATGTAAAATATTAAAATTGGTTTTTTAGAAATCTAGAAATACACAGGGACATGAAAAACTTATAGCACCAAATTTCTTGAGCCTCTTGGATTACTGAGTCCATACTGATTAATTAGTTAAATTTGTTCGACTGAAAAGTTTGAACAGTTCTAAAATCCAAATCTTGTCTTAAAATGTAATAAGAAAAAAGCCCTGGTTTTCCTACTTAATGTATTACTTTTTACCACTTGTAATAAAAAAATATAATACAAATATATTCCCCATTTGTTAATATGTTAAAAGCTAAGAGTTTTGAAGAAATAATGTATTACATACTTAAAATTTTGTTTTTACATTTATTTGAGTTACTTCTTTAGTAGCTAAAATTATTGATAGGATTTTGTTTTTGTTGTTGCTATTTGTTAGTTTTGCATACATGTGTAATTTTCTCACTTTAGGGGGACAGTTTGGTATTAGTGGAAAAGAGTTTAATCTCAAAAACTTGACTTCCATCTCTGTTTCTATGCAAAAGAACAGAGGGATATTTGAGGCTGTATGTGTTCTTTATATTTCATTCCCTTTTCCTCTGAAATAATCAAAAAGAAATTGCTAATTATTGTCAATTTACACAAAGCCAAGAGTAGCACAGTAATTTCTATAGAGTGCTTTGACAACATTAGAAAAGAACGTAGAATGATAAAATTAAATGTCTTTAATCAAAAGTAGCTTCTTGCTACTTGCCATTACAAAAGTGTGCATTATTTTTCTTGTACTTCCTATTAGTTATACTAAACATATAAGAAAATGAGTAAAGATTTGTAAGGGAACATTTAAAATGTAAATGATTACTGCTTGGGAGGAGCAAGAATGAGCCCTCCAGGATGCTGATAATAGACTTTATCTTGTCTTGTGTGGTGGTTAGATGAGTGTCCATACTTGTAAAAATTTATTGAGTTGTACACTTAAAGTTTATGTACTTTATACCTTAATAAAAAGTTAGTAAATAATGCCACTAATATGATTTCTTGGTGAATTGTTTGAAGTCAGAATGATATAATAGGTAACAAAATATAGAAATAGGAACCAAGAAGTTATTATTTGTGACGGTAAGCATAAACACGTGACCTTACACAGATTTTTCCTGTATCAGTTTCCACAACCAAGGGTGGTGGAAGTACCAGCATATCAGTTACTAATTTTGTTGCCTCTCTTCTCCAAATCCCTCTTTGCAATTTCTTGTGTTACCAGAAGTGGACCTTATAGATATTTCTTCTTTGCCGGCTGACTTGATGTTAGGCTTTCCCAACTGAAGGGGCTGGGGGGATACTGCAAAGGCAGAACAGGAGGAAAGGATTTCACTTCCATTTTCCAGAATGCTGTTTTCCATGTGGCACTTAGCAGATCAGTAGGCAGGGAACCTGGTAGTGTTCACCTCATGGCTAAACTGTAGCCTATACCTTCTGGTAAGATCCTCTGCCCTCCAGGGACCACATCGGAAGACCACCCATAACCTACACCCTCTGGAGCCTACACTCTAGCAAGTCTCTCTGCCACCAGCAGAGATCCTATGGTAGCCATAACCTCTCCAAAGATGTCTGAATCTTAGATTTGGTGGTGGTAGTGGTGGTGGGAGGGGCAGGGGGGGTCTTCTAAATTTGTAAGTACCTGCCTTGTTCACTCTCCCTCAGCTTTGTAGGCATTAACTGTGTTCTGCAGTTCCTACTTCTGTACTACTGGACTACTTGTTTACTTCTTTTAGTAGTTAACTACCTTTTCACTAGTTAATAATTCTTTATGTTAACTTTTCCTTATTCAAATTACTGGTGTGGTTTCTGTCTTCTGATTGGATCCTGACTGATACAGCCAGCCTCCGCACATATTACATAGGGCTATAAATTAGAGTTCACCTGCCTATACCTTCCATTCTGAGGCATTGATTACACATTTAGGCTACAACATAATTTTGTTTAGTTCTGAAATAAAGATGTTCATCTGTAAAATTGTTATAATAAACAATCTATAAAATCCCCTCAAACTCTAATTCTTTTACTCAACAAGTAAACTGCTTAGTTCATTTTCTGTGTCTTTCTGTATCTAAATAAGGTGAGTGATCACAATTGTGTAATTAGTTACAAACATTTATTCTCACAACTTTATTGTCATTAAGTGAGCTTCTGTATACGATGTATTAAACTTCAATTTTTTCATTCCTTTCTGACTTTTAACAAGGGTTGAATTTAGATCATCCTAATTTCCATCATTGTTTTTTTTTATTTTTTTAATTTTTGGTTTATTGCAGTAACACTGGTTTATAACATTCTAAAAATTTCAGGTGTACATCATTATACTTCTATTTCTGCATAGAGTACCTCATGTTCACCACCAAAATACTAATTACAACCCATCACCACACACATGTACCGAATTAACCCTTTCACCCTCCTCCCTCCCCCCTTCCCCTCTGGTAACCACCAATCCAATCTCTGTCCCTATGTGTTTGTTTATTGTTGTTATTATC